CCTACTGCTTAAGCATTGTAAGCCAAATGTCTGTGGAGTCCCCCTGTTCCAAAGCTACTAGCGCTTGGGCAATAACCACCTTGTCCCTCTTATTTTGAGCCCTGAGCCGACAGACCAGCCAAAGAAGCAACAACAGTCCGCGGCAAATGGCTGCGCCAAATAACCCCACCCCCACCCATTCTTTAAAGTAGGAAACAGCAGAGGCGATCCAAGATGACAATCCCTCCGTCAGAGACAGATCCAAGCGCGTGGAGTTGACCTGGATAATAGCGGTTCTCAGCTCCCGAAGCATCTGCTCAGACTCAGAAGTCCAATTCTGTAACATGAACTGAAAAAGACTTTTAGACAAATTAGCTGCTTTGGTAAAATTCTCATATTGGATGGAGGTGATACATAGGCCTGGGAGTTTCTGCTCGCAGCCTAGTTGGGCCATCTGCCATAATATGTCCAATTGTTCCTGCACTAAATCAATGTGCTGGTTTAGTAGCATCAAACCACCCTGTATTTGGGTGTTTGCAGAGGCCTGTTTGTCTAGGGCTTCGGACACCATGGCCGATAAGCCATTGATAGCCTGTGCCGTTTGCACCGAGTTGGACAATGTGAGGGCAGAAGCTGTAACTGCTGCCGTGACTGCAGTAGTGGCCATGACGGCAACAATTATTGCAGAAATCCCAAAATCTCTCTTTGGTCATACTACTAGGTGCTTCCACAGGGACAGGTACAAACCGCGGCATGTAAGTCACTACAGCTAAAGGGAATTTTACAGCATCCCAACACAAACCCTCCTGATTTTTAATCCAATTTAGAGCCATTACTCTCATTAATAGTCTTATTGCTCACAATCCAAATAAAAGGAGGCCAAATACACACCGGTGTGGGATCATAATTTGTATGTATGGAGGATTGATCTTTTATGTCACTGGCCTTCCAGCTGAATGACCCAGAGCTATGGCCCGACTGAAGGGCGCTGCCAACAGACCCTTTCCAGTCAAACTTCAGCTGCCCTTTTTCACCTTTACCCCCTTTAATCATTGCCATAGGTGTAGGGTCAGTGCAGCTTCCATTAATGCCACAAAGCAGCCATTGGTCAAATGGGTTAAGGTTGGATCGCATAGGATCTAGGGATGTGAAGTTAATTCCCATACCCATATTGGGGGAAAAGGAAAAGAAGCCTTCACTAGCCCAAGCAGAGTCCCTGGACTGGCACCCAGCCCAGGGTAAAGTCAATTCTTCAGTTTGCTCCCCTCTACAAAAGGGGGCTAATTTTGGCTGACGGGGTAGAGCTGTGGAGATATTTACCACTGGGAAGCGTGGCCACCATCCATAAATTACAGAGGCATTAGCCATAACTATACCTCCAGTTCCCCAGGTGGTCTCCTTGAGCCATGCCGAGGATTGATTGCTTAATAAAATGCAAGGCATATCAGCAGCGCTTTGGTCAACTGCTGAGAAACAAAGGCTTCCTTTAAGAGAAATAGTTCTATTTTCACCAAGCTCCTGAATCTGTTCATCTTTAGGCAGGAAAGCTAGGCCCAGCTCCTTATTAGTGGCAAAAAAGCAGGGGAAAACCTGCGCATTATACATCACCGGCATCAGAAGTGGGAACGTTGACATGATTCCCCAACGCGGCTCCCCCTGGACAGCTGGGGTTTTGATCATCATCAGTAACACAAGGAGGAGCAGCTTGCTCCCCCTTTTCATGCGTCTGGTCTGCTGCATCCTTTTGCTCCGTGACTGTCCTGGTAAGTCTTTCAGGGACCCAGAAAGGGTTTTCTTCATTCTGTGGGAAAACACAAACAGCTCCCCTGGATCTTATTAGAATAGGATCCGGGCCTTTCCATTCATTGGTTAACACATCTTTCCATTTCACCAGTTCCTTGGGTCGATGTGGGTCCGAGCACTGCCGCTCTGCTGCAGTCTGACCATGCTCATCTGAGTTTAAAAAATTAATGGTGAAAAGTGCCACTGCTATGGCAACTCGTGGCACTGGGGGTAAATCCTTTATTATTCCCCCTCTTTGTTTAATTAAATATGATTTGAGCGTGTGATGTGCGCGCTCAACGATGCCCTGCCCTTGAGGGTTATATGGCAAGCCCGTAACATGTGTGACTTGCATTTGTGCACAAAACTGTTTAAATTTCTGAGAAGTATAAGCAGGTCCATTGTCAGTCTTTAAGCATTTAGATTTTCTCCAGGCACTCCATGCCTCAAGACAGTGTTGAATCACATGGGAGGTCTTTTCTCCAGTGAGTGGTGTGGCATGGAGGACACCAGAGCAGGTGTCTATTGATACATGTACATATTGGAGTCTTCCAAAGGAAGAAATATGAGTAACATCCATCTGCCATATTTGCAATGGCAAAATCCCTCTTGGATTTACTCCGGTGTGACAGGTGGGGAGAAATTGACAGCAATTATGACACTGAGTGACACGTGCCTCTTTCCTGGTAAGAGAGAAGCGCTTGTGTAGGGTCTCAGAAGTAACATGAAAGTTGTTATGGAAGGTCTTAGCGGCTTGCAGCGGGGAGACAAAAACTGCCGCAGCCAATCTGGTGGCTCTATCTGCCAAATCATTTCCTTGGCTCATTGGGCCAGGAAGTCCAGAATGAGCCGTAATATGTGTAATGTACATGGGAGCCTGTCTGGTTAACAAACAGTCTTGTAATCCTTGGAATAGAGATGCCATTCTGCTAGTGGATCTAATGATCCCGGCAGTTTCCAGTAAGTTTACAGCATTAACCACATAGGAAGAGTCAGAAACAATGTTAAGAGGACCTGGGAATTTTTGAAGAACTTCTAATACCATCAAGCATTCCACCACTTGAAGGGAAGTCTCAGTATATTGTCGTGAGAACACCTGGGTACCCACCACATAAGCTCCCAGGCCACTCTTGGAGCCATCTGTATACACCACCAATCCATTCTTTAGCGGGTTATGAGAGGTGATCCGGGGAAATACAATAAGATGAGACGCAGCGAATTGCAGCAGAGGGTGTTTAGGGTAATGATTGTCAATTTTTCCCAAAAAGGTAGTGACTAATATGGCCCAATCATCAGAAGCAGCGGCCAATGTCTGTACCTGAAAAGAGTTGTAGGGAACAATTAAAAACGTGGGATGTCTGCCAAAATGATTGACAGCAGCTTTTAGACCCCTAAGGGCAAGCTGAACTATTGCTGCAGGGTACCAATCAATAACCTTTTGCGGGGAGGCATGTAGATGGACCCACAATAAGGGTCCACCCTGCCAAAGCACTGCAGTGGGTAGTTTCCTCATATTGAACACGCAGAGGGAAAAAGGTTGTGACGGTTCAATACAACATAGCTGTGCTTCCTCAATAGCTTCCTCCACTGAACAGAGGGCTGCCTCTGCAGCGGGTGTTAAGGACCTGGGGGAGGTAATATGGGCGTCCCCTTCCAGAATGTCAAACAGGGGCTTCAAATCTGCAGAGGGGATCTTTAGGAATGGCCGTAGCCAATTTATATCTCCCAATAATTTTTGAAAGTCATTCAAAGTATGCAAATCGCCTCTATATATTTTTATTTTCTGCGGGAGGATTTTGTCCGGGAACACCATGGATCCTATAAAGTGCCCGGTATTGGCAATTTGGACCTTCTCTGTGGCAATCTGGAGGCCCCAGAACCATAGATTTTTAAGCAGTAAGGGATAGGCCTCCTGAAGGACGTTTAATTCCTTATGACACAGGAGTACATCATCCATATAATGTATGACAATCAAACTAGGATACTGTTTTCTGATGGGTCTGAGAGCCTCCTGTACATATAATTGACAGATGGTAGGGCTGTTTGCCATGCCTTGTGGCAACACCTTCCATTGATATCGCCTGTCAGGTTCCTCATGATTAATGGCGGGAATGGTGAACGCAAAGCGAGGTCTATCTGGTGGATACAACGGAATAGAAAAAAAGCAATCCTTAATGTCTAGAATAATTAGGTCCCAATTTTTGGGCAAAGCAGAAAGCACTGTAAGACCTCTTTGCACTACACCCAAAGGATGCATTTGCTTATTAATGGCTCTTAAATCATGAAGTAGGTGCCATTTGCCTGATTTCTTTTTAATAACAAAGATTGGAGTATTCCAAGGGGAGGTAGATGGTTCTATGTGCCCCAATGCCAATTGTTCTGCCACAAGGCTGTTTACTGCTTCTAATTTTTCAGAGGTCAATGGCCACTGGGGAACCCACACCAGGTCCTCCGTTCTCCAAGGTATGGGCCGTGCTGCCCCAGTGGCGCCTAGGAAAAACCCAGGTCCTATCTCCCTGGATTTGGGTCAGGGGATATGGGTTCTACCCATCCCTGTTTTAAGTGTCCCAACCCCTTTCCATGTTCATACCCCATCTTTTTCATAATATTGACAGCTTGTGGCGAGTATTCATTAGATAATATGAGCCCCAAGCCTTGCGGTACGTCACGTCCCCACAAATTAACAGGGAGGGGAAGCACGTAGGGGGTAAACTGTCCCTGATGACCTTCCTCTGATTTCCATGTAAGCATAGAGGAGCTAATAGTGGGGTGGGAGCTATAGCCTAGCCCCTGTAGGGAATGTGATGACTCTGTGACCAGCCAGGATTTCGGCCACCAATGAGAGGAGATGATACTCCGATCCGTTCCTGTGTCCAATATGCTTTCAAAACTTTTGCCATTAATCCAAAGTAATAGGCTTGGCCGATCATGAAGTTGAACAACTAGATAAGCAGAGTCTGACCCTGAAGAGCCCATCCGTTTATTTCCCGTACCATAGTGAGGGTCGCTTGGAAGGAGCAGTAATTGAGCTATTCTATTCCCTCGGTTGATGGAAAATATCCCATTTGGGCTGGAGCATAAAACTTGGATCTCGGGGGAGTGCTGATTGTCAATAACACCTGGATGAACAACTAGTCCCTGTAATGTAAGTGACCCTCTACTGGGAAGGATCCCTATAGTCCCCTCCGGTAATGGTTTTGGGGCTAGAACAGGAATGGGTTGAACCTCCATCTGAGGCATTAATAGGAAGTCGGAGGCAGCACACAAGTCCATTCTTGTTCCGACTCCTGAGGGGTCTCGTTTATCATCCTGTTGACTCTGTTCCCATATTTTGGCGGGCCCTGGAACCGTGGGCCCGACGCCCCGGTTTTTGGAACCTCATTTGTTGGTGCTTCTATAGGGGAGAGAACCCTTCCCTTTATATCCCGTACCGAGCAGCACTGGGCAGTCTTATGGTATCCTTTGCCGCAACGAGTGCAAAGTGTTGGTGGCTCTCTTTCCCTGTCCGGCATCCTACAATCTTTTCTTAGATGCCCTGCCTTTCCGCATTTAAAACAGGTTCTTTTATCTGGCCCCTTAAGGGGGCACTTTTGAGACTGTAGGATTGCCGCAGCTAACCCCGCATTAGTGAGGGGTCCCCCGAGTTCTCTACAGACCCTAAGCCAATCCTGTAATCCTTTGTTCTTTCTCAGGGCTATAGCTGCACGACATTCCTGGGTGGCCTGTTCAAAAATAAGTTGCTCAACAAGAGGTGCAGCCTGCTCGGGATCACCAAAGATTCGCCCTGCTGCCTCTGTCATTCTTGCCACAAAGTCAGAGAAAGGCTCCTGAGTCCCTTGAATAATCTTTACAAGTTGGTTGTCCGCCCCTCCTTTCCTGGAGAGTGCCTTCCAGGCCCTAATAGCCGTGCTGGCAATCTGTGGGTAAGCACCCCAATGATAATTGGTCTGATCAGCCTCAAAACGACCCTGGCCTGTAAGCATGTCAAATGTCCACAACTGTTGTTCAGGTGTCAGGGCTGTCGCATTAGCTCTAGCCTGCTCTTGGGCAGCCTCATGCCAAAGTGCTTTCCATTCCATATATTGGCCCATGCTGACAAGTGCTACCTTCGCTACCATCTGCCAATCAGAAGGCGTTAGGGCATTCATGGCAAGTCTATCTAGTTGTGCAAGAGTAAAATTGGCCGTAACTCCGTATTTTTTGACTGATTCGGCCAGCTCCATTATCTGATTGTATTCTACGGGTGCATGCAACCGCTGTGTCACGTCAACGCCTTCAAAAACAGGGAAAGCGAGGTGCATTCTGCGTTTTACCTTTTCTGGAAGAAAGGAAAACTACTTTGGGCATGTCTCATATGGCGGAGGCGCCGAGGGAACCACTTTTGAGGGGACTGTTTGAACCAGCCGCCTCCAAGGTGTTTTGTTGTTATGTATCTGGTCATCTGGATGGTATCTTTCTTCCTCATACTTGGCAGCCTCCTCTTCCAGCTCTGCTTCCTCCTCAGTATCTAAACCCTCATCCTCTGAGCTTTCAGAGTCATCAGAACTGTCAAGATTTAAGGCTTCAAGCTCTTGCACGGGGTAGAAGCCAGCTCCTCCCTTTGGTTTAACAGCAGGGGGAGGATCCCCGTGATCTGGCTGAAACACCCCCTTGTCACTAGACTCCCGGGGGGGGGGGGCTTTTTCCTTCTTGTGGACGATTTTCTTTTTGCGCGCGCCCAACCTCTTGCTACGCTCGGTTTCTGACATGCTATCCTGGACCTCCTCAAGGGTACTTCGGCCCTTTGCTACGGCGCCCCTACAGGCTTCATCTTGTAAACAATTTTTAACAAGTTTCCAAATGGCTTTTGTGCCCTGCCTCAAATCTCCATCTGCTAATTTATAATCGAGATCTTTGCCTAATTTGTTCCATGAGGCGAGAGTCAATGACCTGGAACAAGCATACCAAGGGGCCACCCGATCAATTTCCTTAACAAAATTTTTCAAAGTGCGATGGGCAATCTTTATATCCCGTTGTCTTAGCACTGTGTCTAGTGCGGTAATGACCGACTGCGAGGAGCCCATGATGAATTAGCACCCGCGGCTTATGTACGTCCGTCTTACTGGTGTGCTGAAAATGAAAGTGATGTTTTTGCGCGCAGCTCCTTTATCTACAAGAGACTGATACGCGCCCCAAGGCGCTGCCGCTTATCTACCTCGGTCTTGCTGTGCCTAGCAATGCCAGCGATGGTAACAAAACAGGATAGCAACAAAGATCAAAGTGGCCCCGAGGACAAGCACTAAAGCCTCAACACTTCTGTCCCAAGGTGGCGACAGTCCTAAGCCAAAGTCCAGAAAAAACATACCTCTCCGAGACGTACCTGCCTGTAGTTCTGAATCCTCCTTGCAGTCAAGGGGTCTCTGATGGTGCTGACGATGATGAGGTCTTGATTCCCGGGTTTCGGCACCAGTTGTCCCGTGCTACCGTCTCGCCAGCAAGAATGACGCGGCACACTCAGGATCCTTCTACAGTAAAGCTTTAATGCGTCTGAGAGGGAGAACATAAGCTTACAGAGCGGAGACCCCAAACACATAAAACCCCTTCCTTATATAGGCCAGCAACCTTCACCTGGGCGTGCAGGCGCCATCTTGTAATGGAGAATGCAGGAGTGGCTCCCTACACCCCTTAATGTCTCCTTTCTCTCTCCTTATCCCCATTATTGGTCTCCTTATTCCTCTAAATTGTTTTACTTCTTTTACGTCATAAGTACATACATGTGTTTATGTGTTTGTATCTAGAAACCACAAATGAGAGAAAATGTAACCTTCATCTTTCTGAGACTAATTGTTTAACGTGATAACTGCTAGTTGCATGTGTGAATGACATAATTTCATTCTTCTCTGTGGCAGACACCAGGTTGGTTCCATTACTCCCCTGTCATGAATAGTGCTGTGATAAACATGGGTTTGCAAGCATCTCTCACAGTGACACTGTATAGACGTGTGTGTATACATATACATATATATTAGCAGATAAATTAATAACATGAGCTTTCACACTGAACTGAACTCCTGGAATCCAGTGTCAGAAAGAGAGAACTGATGGGCAAAGGAGTTAAGAATGGGCTGGTTTAACCCACAGAAACAGTTGACCTGAACAAGGGGAAATTCTTAGACCCCAGATTGATGGCTGTGTGGAAAGCATGGGACTGACCTGAATGTGGGTGTCAGTGAAGAGGCCTAGGTAATCTATGGGGCCTTGGGTAGTATTTATCCCTGGTGTACAAACAGACTTTGAGTGCCCATGCCACAATATGGGAGGCTCTCTCAGCCAGGACTCTTGGTGGAGGGCCTAGGCCCTGTCCTGGATGAAATGACAGTCACCAGAGATCTACCATGGAGTGCCTCACCCTCCCTGGGGATTAGAGTGGAGATTGGGTAGGGGGCTGGGGAACCTGGTGGGGAGGGTAGAGGAGGAGGGGAGGGAGCTAGGGTTGACATGTGAAACAAGCTTGTTTATAACTTAAATTTAAAAAAATAACATGAGCTTTGAGCAGATAAACACAGTTTTAGCTCTCAGCTTCAACACATCAGTACTGGGAAGTTTAAGGCAAATTATCTAATCTCTCTAAGCATTTGCTTCCTTAGGTGTGGAACGAGAATGATAGTAGAGTAATATCTATCACATAAGATTAATGGGAGCTTAATGTACTGCGAGTGACATGGAGGCTGGGATTGTAACTCCATGGCAGAGAGCTTGGCTACTACATATGGGGCCCTGGACTTGATAACAAGTACCACAAAAACTAAGAAGAAGGACAAATATGCAAAGCAGTTAATACCCAGAACACAGAGGTAACCAATAAGTCTTAGCTGGTAACAGAGGTGCCTGGGGCTACAATGGTGGTGGGAATAGCACAATATTACTATCATAAATAAAATGAGGAGGAGCATTGCCTCATCATTGTCCTGCTGTCCCCACATTTCTACCACAGCATCTGTAATTCTCCAACAGGTTTTCTAATGAATGCCCAGCAGAATGGTTTTTCAGTTATTTGGAAATTTAAAACACTTGAGTCATTATCACTCATTCTACAGTGTTACCCGGATCATCAGCACGACGCTGCCTCTTCCCCAGTGTTCCAGAACGATTCAGATTTGCTAATCTGACAGTGAGGCTTCCCAGCCCCTTCAAAGAATCAAAGACTTCCCTCATTCCTTGCCAGGCTGCATCATCCACTCGCTTGAACCTCATCCAGAGTCAGTCTGGCGTGAGGGATCCTGTAAGTGCCCCCATGAGAATTCGCACACTTAGCAAGGCACTGAGCAATTAAACTTGGATGAACTACTTTAGAGACAGAAAGAGGAACAAAGAGAAGAGCCGTAGGGAAAGTGAGCAGAAAAGCAAACGTAAATGGGTTCAGCTAGGTTCAGGGAGAAAAACGTATGCCCACTCATTATGGGCTTCTGTTTGGAAGGAATTCAAATGTTTTTGTTGAATAACAAGCAGAAAATTTTCATGATTTAATACACAGGTGGGCTCGTACTTAAAACAGAGAGACGCCACCACTCCCACTCACCCCCACCCCGCCCAGCAAACAGCTGCAGACTTACCTTATGTATCTTGGCTGTACGGATCAAATCTGGTCTGATAGCAAGCAGCACTTGGGTGACAACTTTGGGTCCTCCTGACCCAGAAGCTCTAGTATGAAGAGCCTGGCTCATATTTGTTCCTTTGTGGAATTCTTATGCTATGATGATGACTATAATCACCATCATCATCATCATGAGAAAGTCTCCCAAATGAGGGGGAGGGAACTGAAATTCCTCTCTGATGATGAGCTCATCCTACAGGCAAGAAATAAAAGCCATAAAAGAATGCCCTGCTCTTTTCTGCTGTCTTTAAAGTACCTGGGTCAGGCTTCCAGACTAAGCATGACTTCTTGGGACAACACATGAGTAGGAACCCATGTGAGACCCTGTTGAAGGGACTCATGGCAGCAGGAAGAGGTGGTGACAGCTCATTCTGCTGACAGCCTACACTATCAGGAAAATTCACTGGAAGGCTCTGGGACCCTGTTCTGGGCTAATCAGATGTCCACTGGTCAGACATCTTATCGTTAGCCTAAGTAGCTGGCATCTGAACACAAGAAATCTAGACAACCATGCCATAGTCTTCACAGGATGACACTGAAAAGTTTCAGGGTGATTAGTGGCAATGCTAACTTTAACTGCATCTTTACATCATTCTGGGAGTTAACCGTGACACAGTTAAGTCAATCAATGTTCAGGCCATGCTGCCCAGAGAAGGTAGGGGTGTGGAGATCTGATACATTAAGACATGCTCAATGCTCAGATCTATACACTGTACAAACCAAAAAGCAGCAAGATGCCTCTGAGGACTCTCATAAGGCATTCTCTTTTATTCTGATAAGGTCAGCTGACACCACACTAAGGCTGGATGTAAGGATTTTTTTTCCCTAATAAATACTTGGGAAGATCAACAGTAGAACACAAGGTTCACTTTGTTCATTACTACTTAGCAGCAGTTCCCAACCCAGCCTACACAGCAGAATCACTCAGTTGGCTTTGTTGGTTTGGTGTGTGTGTGTGTGTGTGTGTGTGTGTGTGTGTGTGTGTGTGTGTGTGTGTGTGTGTGACCCTGATTAAATGAGTCAAGGGTGGATACTAAGAACTGATTTTTTTTTCTTATTTTAAACATTTACCAGGAAAGTCAAACAGTTAGGATTCAGGACTGTTTTGGGGTTGGAAAGATAGTCCATTTGGAACAGGCACCTACCAGGGGGCCTCAGTATGATTTTGAGACCCACATGGTGGAAGGAGAGAATCAAGACCCTAAGGTTGCCCTTTGACCTCCACGTGATTATCATGGTGCTTGAACATGTGCACACATGCACCAAATAAAATGTTTTTGAAAAACTACTTTAACATACAGACTGAAAAGGCCATGCTACTCGGAATAGAGAGAGATCCAGGTTCGTTTGCATCAGGTTGTGTAACAAAAGATCACAGATTAGGTTGCTCAGAGAATAAAGCTTACTTCTATTTGTTCTGAAAATTGGAAGTCCAAGGCCACAGCAGCAGTGGGGTTGGTTCCCTGTGAAGTATCCCTCTGTGTATAGAACCGACTAAAGTGTCTCTCATGCTTTAAAGACACAGATGTATCTGATTTGGGGCCCATCCTAACAGTCTTGTGTAACTTAATCATCCCTTTCATGATCCTGTCTCCAAATGTGATCACCACAACTTCCGTATTTGAATCTAAGACATCTCAGACTACAACAAAGAACTATCAACCACTGGCCCCCTCAGTTCACTCCCAATACCTCTTCCTCCTCCCATAAATTCAATGCAACAGCATCACATGAATCTGCTTGTACATATATTCCTCTACTCTAGAACCACCTGTTATCCTCAGTGCATGAAGAAGGATGTCGTAACTCCTTAGCATGGCAAAGCAGACTCCCCTCTCTGTGACCCAAGCCCTTCAATCAACCTCATATCTGTCTTCCTTCCTGATGATCTCTCACTCGTTCCAAGCTGAGCTGTTCTCCTGAAACTTTAGTTTCTTATTTTCTGCAAAACAGTCCATCTCTGGCTCTTTCTTCTGAATTCTCAGCTACTTGATGGTTCATCAAGATACTTAAGACTACTCACTACTATTATTTAATTTGTGTGTGGGGTGTGTGTGTGTGTGTGTGTGTGTATGGCCTGCAGAGGCCAGAAAAAAAAACATTGGGTCCCCTGGAGCTGAAATGACAGAAAGTTGTAAGCTGCCTGACATGGATGCTTGCAAGCGACCTCCAGCCTTCAGTAAGAGTAGCAAGTGTTTGTAACTGCTAAGTTCTCTCCCTCACTCCTGAGTACTCACTTCTTAATGAATAAAAACTGTCTATGATTGCAACTTTGAGCAGAAGGAGCTTCAGGTCCTCCCCTCACCCATCAAGGAAGGCATCCAGTAGGTGCCCCTAGATCCTAGAACAGTGCCTAGGCTATTGTAGGGTCAGAGAAAATAATTGACAAGTTTATAAAGTGAAAGAATGAGCAACATGTTCATCAAGGCT